AGCGATTATTTGATAAGGAAATCTTTTTTAAATGTCTTCACTGTCACTTTTGATCAATTTAATGTGTTCTTGCTAAATATGTGTTAATTTCTTTTTAAAAGAAAACCTTACTGACCACAAACCTTTGAACGGAAGTGTATATTAACACCAGCATTTAATTTATATTCATTTAAATAATAATAAAATCAAATCAAATAAAAAAAGAATGTTGTGTTTGGACATGATCATTTTCTTTATTACACTACAGAATAATAAAACATGCATAAATTGTCAAGAAAATGTTGCTATGGAAAAACAGGTTTCATTTTTTAATGCAAAATATATTTTCAGGGTTTTTCTTGTGAATTTTTATTAATTTTACCTGTAAAACAAGCATTTTGTGCATGTCCTTTTGGTTTTTAATGCTGTGTATGTATATATGGTCCACAGGTGTCCATAAGAGCGGCTTCGTCTTGTTTATTGGCAGCTCCCTGGTCCACATGTTGTGCACCTGCAAGCTGTGGTCCTTGATTGCGAAGTATTCCCTCAGTGCAGAGGTAATTGACTTTCACCTCCTCCCTTCTGGCATTCGGTATAGAACTCCTATTAGTAAAAGACATTAATTTATCCCCTCAGCTGTAAAGTTGTTAAATTTAAAGAGATAGTTCACCCAAAAATGAAAATTTGATGTTTATCTGCTTACCCCCAGGGCATCCAAGATGTAGGTGACTTTGTTTCTTCAGTAGAACACAAACGAAGATTTTTAACTCAAACCGTTGCAGTCTATCAGTCTTATAATGCAAGTGAATGGGAATCACGGCTTTGGGAGTCAAAAAAACACACAAACAAAACCAAATGAAACCCTGCGACTCGTGACGATACATTGATGTGTAAAGACACAAAACGATTGGTCTGTGCAAAAAACTGAACAGTATTTATATCGTGATTTTCACCGCAATGTCCGAACTGTCTGTCCTGAGCGCATTCTCAACAGCCGGAGCGTGACGCGTCTTCTTCTTCTTGCTTTACAGCGAATCGCAGACTTATAAGTGCATTACCGCCACCTATCTCTCAAATGGACCATTGACACTATCTACAATCTCAATTAGGAGTGTCAATGGTCCATTTGAGAGATAGGTGGCAGTAATGCACTTATAAGTCTGCGATCCGCCGTAAAGCAATTTTCAGTTTTGGGTGAACTATCCCTTTAAGGTAAATACTTTTTAGGATGGTTGTGCGTTTGTTTTCTGTAGTGTGTGTATATGTTGTCTTATGTGATATGCTTGTATGCTGCAACCAAACTGCCTTCGTGAAATAAATAAAAATGAATTGAACTGAACCGACTTCTCTGTATTCTGGGCATGTACTTATTTGCCAACAACTGTTATAAACAGACCAGCAGAGGGCAATATAAGCCAATCTCATATGTAATATGGATTAAATCTATAACTATAAATTTATTTGTCAGCTGCCCTGCTCTGGTTTTAAATTTGAATAAATAATACAAAAATAGTGAATTATATTGTAAGCCCTGTTGGAAACATGAAAAATGTAATGTGAATTGGGTGTTTATTTTTATTTATTTTTTATGTTGTATCTATTAATTTATTTGGACTAGTTGTTGATTTGCATTATAAAAATGCTGTTATGGAAGACAAATGCTGCATCCAAATATACATACTTCACTTGAATGGCAGTAACAACATGGTAGTTGTGGTATGCCTGGATTTCATTCATACTATAAAGAACATACTTGTTTAAAAAGTCGTAAAGTATGTTTCAAATCAAAAGTAGTACCTACTTGGACGAGTTATAATTTCAGCTTAAGTTTAGCTTTTAAACGATCCGTACATGCAAATCCTTCTCTGATTGGATGAAACGAGCATGTATGACCATTTTTAGATTGAGCTGATACATTCACTTATAGTGATTATTCAGATATATTCTTAACACCCCAGTGATCTTGACACCACGAGCACAGCTCTAATAAAAGGTGTTGCTTGTGCTGCTGGGTGAGAATCATGGGAGTTGACGTGTCAGTGACCACAGTGGAGCTTTATATTTCTATTGCTGTGAAAGTGCAGCTGGGTTTGTGTGCTTCGGGGGAAGTGGTTGCTGTGCTCTCACAGAACCTCGTCCCACCTGCTTGCCCCACATCACGTTGCAGAAGAGAACTGATGACATTGTGTGTCTTCTTTCTCCTTTTTCTCTTCTTTCTTCTCTCTTTCTTTACTGCATCAAACCCACTTTGACATCAGGAGATGATGTCATACCGCCAGAAGTTCCGCCTCTTCCTCTTCAACGGTTTCTTCTGTCTGTTGGCTGCCTACTTCTACAAGCGGCACAACACTTACTGTGAAACAGGAAGTGAGTGCAACGTCTTCGCCGTTCTCTGTCATTCACCCCACCCATGTTCCACTCAACACATGTTCCATTTTGGTGATTTTTACATGCTCAACATGAACTCACAAATTCTTACCAATTATAATTGATTACCTGTTTTTGAAGTTCTGGAAGGGATAGTTCACCCAAAAAATTGTGATTAGTTAATAACCTTTATGTTGTTCCAAACCAGTATGATGTTAATTTCGGGTTCAATATGTGTTTAAAGAAGTCACTTATGTTCACCAAGGCTGCATTTATTTGCTCAAAAATACAGTAAAAACAGTAATATTGTGAAAAATTATTACAATTTAAAATACCCATTTTATATTTGAATATATTTTAAAATGTAATTTATTCCTGTGAAGCAAAGCTGAATTTTCAGCATCATTACTCCAGTCTTCAGTGTCACATGATCCATCAGAAATCATTCTAATAAGTTGATTTGCTGCCGAAGAAACATTTCTTTTTATTACCAATGTTGAAAATTGTTGTGCTGCTTTATATTTTTGTGGAAACCGTGATCATTTTTTCAAGTTTCATTGAAGAATATAAAGTTCAAAAGAACAGCATTTATTTGACGTTTTCGAAGTTATTTTGATCAGATTAATGCATCCTTGCTGAATAAAGGTATTCATTTCTTTAAAAAAAATACAATAAAACATAAAACCCAAGCTTTTGAATGGTAGTGTATATTTTTAATCATTATTATCCTAATTAATGCATCCTTGCTGAATAAAGGTATTCATTTCTTTAAAAAAATACAATAAAACATAAAACCCAAGCTTTTGAATGGTAGTGTATATTTTTAATCATTATTATCCTATTTTAGGCTTTATGTTAACCTTTTCCATTGTTAAATGGAATTGAATATCCTTTTTGTTATATTGTACCTAAAAATGAAAAATTGCTGACAATGTACTCACACTCAGTCCATCCAAGATGTAGATGAGTTTGTTTCTTCATCAGAACAGATTTGGAGAAATGTAGCATTACATCACTTGCTCACCAATGAGTCCTCTGCGGTGAATGGGTGCCGTCAGAATGAGAGTCCAAACAGCTGATCAAAAAATCACAATAATCCACATGAGTCCAGTCCATCAGTTAACATCTTAAAAAGCTGTGTGTTTGCAAAAAACTAATTCATGATTTTAACTTTAAGGCATTTTAACTTTAAACCTTTGATTCTGAAAATACCAGTCCATAATCTATAATAATACTTCCTCCAATGAAAAAGTCCATTCCCTGTTGATCAGTGCAAATTTCTCTTCTGATTCAGACGAGGCCTTTTTTTTTTTTCATTGGAGAAAACAATGTTATGGATAGAGGACTTGTATTTTAGCTGAAAGCAAGTTTAAAATGATGAATTTGTTTATTCCAAACACTTCACAAGATGTTAATTGATGGACTGGAGTCGTGTGGATTACTTGTGGATTATTGAGATGTTTTTATCAGCTGTTTGGACTCTCATTCTGACGGCACCCATTCACTGCAGAGGATCCATTGGTGAGCAAGTGATGTAATAATACATTTCACCAAATCTGTTACGAATATAAAAATCTACATCTATATCATCTACTTCTTGGATGGCCTGAGGGTGAGTACATTTTTATTTTTGGGTGAATTATTCTTTTAATTGAAATATTTATTTTGCCATTTAAATGACATTGATTTACCACACTTCAGTAATTTCTGTTGTCTCTCTATGGCAGTTTACACGTTGTTTGCTTTGTGTGAGTATCTGGTGGTGCTGTCCAACATGGCCTTCCACATGACTGCCTACTGGGACTTTGGAGGTAAGGAGGTGATGGTTGCAACACCTCCAGAGGGAAAGCGCTTCTGACACAGGAAGTGAATACTTGCATCATCTCCTTGAAACTTGAGACACTAGGGCTCTGAGGGCGGCACTCATGCTGATTTAGGGTCAGCACTGATCGAGCAACGCATGTGTGTGTAGAAAGAGACTGTTTACATCTTGACATGGTGTTTTAACTCTTTGTTTGAAAGATCATTGTCAGTGGTGTGCTACATTTTGAACAATTACTTTGTTTATTCAAGCGTAATTGGAACGGCTGATTATGTCCTAGTCATTATTTCAAATTAATTTCTTTTACTTGGCTAAATCAAAGTGTGAAGTGCCATGTCTGTCTCTTTCTAGTGGGCTTGTCAGGGTCATACATTGGTTTCACTCGAAGTTTGCAAAATGTGCTTATTATTTGTAAATGGTGTTTTAACTCTTTGTTTGAAAGATCATTGTCAGTGGTGTGCTACATTTTGAACAATTACTTTGTTTATGCAAGCGTAATTGGAACGGCTGATTATGTCCTAGTCATTATTTCAAATTAATTTCTTTTACTTGGCTAAATCAAAGTGTGAAGTGCCATGTCTGTCTCTTTCTAGTGGGCTTGTCAGGGTCATACATTGGTTTCACTCGAAGTTTGCAAAATGTGCTTATTATTTGTAAATATTTGCAAATGTAAAAGTAATTGAACTCTGAGGAGTGATGACGTGTCAGTTGGTTTGCAGCTGCTGTTTCACAAGTGCCGCATTGAGCTTATACACACTGAATGCTGATACTACTGAAAGACATTCAGTTCAGCCACACCAGACATTTCTCTCTTCCTTTGTAAATGCTAATGTAAATCATGTGAAAGGTCATTTTAAACTGCCTTTTGCACAGCATTTCTTGTTTGCCTTTAGGGTGCTAGAGAGCGTTGTGAATTTGAACATGTTTTTTGTGGTCAAATGTAGTGCAGTTATTGATCATGAACGACATGGGCCCTTAGTACACAATTCATTGCCATTGGTTGAATGTGAAAACTGGCACAGTGCAATATGACATGTGACCCTTCTCATAGATCACCAGTGGCCGAGTTCAGCAAGATGTTGTGAACATGACTGCGTTTAAAAATGCTTTTTATGATGTACCAAAATACTGTTTTTAAATCGGTGTCAAATAAATATTTGGATGAAAAGTAAGTGCATCATTTCTGAGATTAGCACATGCATTTTTACTAGATATATTGGTACCCTTTCCATTAATGGCTGATGTTAGAGAGTTTTTATTTATCTGTATTGGAATATTTATTTTTTAGGTTTATTTTAAGGTGTCCTTGTTTATGTGTACTAATACAATTAAGTACTGAATATTTATTAATAACATAATACTTACTATAGGATTAGGTTTGGTTTAGGGTAAGTTGCTTGTAATTATGCTTAATTTACTGTTATTACTATAGTAAGTACATGTAACATGTAAACTGTAAAATAGTGTTACCTTATTTTTTCATTCTATGCATTATTTAATTTTTTGATGATTAAATTTAGTTGTAGCATTGTAGTTTTTTATTTTAAAAACTTTAGACATTTTAATTTCATGTTCAAATTAATTTCGCTTTTTTATTTTAAAGTGATTTTGATGCATAGAGGTTGCAGATTGGAGTTGTTGGTTCATTTTGTGTAGAAGGAATGCAGTGTAATGTTTTCACAAAGAACCAGATTTTTTTTGTCTTTCTTCTATTTTTACTTCTTTATTTCAAAATGATTTCATATATGTCAGGAGAAGATGGTCATTATATAGCAGAGTAGCTGTTAGTGAGGCTCAAGTCATAACTTTACACAGGAACGGGCAAACAAATGAATGAAGCTAAACGGACAAAAGAGTCACTGTTAGCGCTTGGAAAACAAACAGAGGTACCAGGAGCTAATTTCGTAGTCAAATAAGAGCGGTCAGGCAGCAGAGAGTGGGGCAATTTCTGCTCATGCAGGGAAAAGCACCGATAATGAGTGACAACAGAAATGCTGAATATTACACTTGCATTGACGTAGATGCTAGATGAGAGAATAAGCACGTAAAACTTAGTTCCATATCTGATATGTCCAGTATGAGGGTAAAAATAGAGAGGACGACTAGTAAGAGTTACAAACTGAACGTCATTCTGATTCCAAATTGGGAGTGTTGTTTATTTACTCGCTGATAAAGGAAGCTTGCATGCTGAAGAGCACTAAAGGAAATCCCTTCTCCAGCATTCCTGATGGTCCAAAGTCACTGACCAGCTCTGACCTTTCCAAAAAGTTAGTTTAAACAGTATCCAGCAGAAAGATAGTTAAAGGGATAGTTGGCACAAATTCATTTACTCACTCTCATCTCATTCCAAACCTGTATGATGTAGTTTTTTGAACTTTCATTCATATTGTATGGACAAAAATGGTTCTTCGAAATATATTTTGTGTTCCGCAGGAGAAAGGAGTCATACAGGTTTGTAACAACATGAGACTTGAGTAAATCTTGTCAGAATTGTCATTTTTGGTAGCATGTACTTTTCTGTGGTTTGCCAAAAAGGCTTTTACTTTCTTTTTGGTCAGGTTTGGCACTAGTGTAGATTATAAAGAAAAGAGTGGATGTTTCAGTAGTTGAAATATGTTCCCATGAACTTTGACTTGTCTGAACAGCTCTGCTGTAATCACTACCTACTGCAAAAGCTTCAGGCATTTGTGTGAGTGTGTGTGTGTGTGTGTGTGTGTGTGTGTGTGAGAGAGAGAAGGACCAGATATCCGGTTCACTCTATTTTGCCTCTATACGTTCAGTGTCACTATCAAAGTCAGATAGGGAAATAATCTGGCACACTGTATTTAAATACACTATACCTGCTTCCTCTTTTAATCTGTAAATCAATATGACTGGATGTTTTTAAATAAAAGAATTTAATGAAATTGTATCTAGTAGTTTTATGGACTAATTATTTGATATGTAAAGACTTATATTAACATTCAAAAGTTTTGGGTCAAAAGTTTTTTTTTTTGTAAGAAATTAATACTTTAAGCAAGGATGCATTGAATTTATCAAAAGTGACGTTAAAGACATTTCTAATGGTAGAAAAGATTTATGTTCATCAAAGAATCCTGAAAAAAATGTTTTCCACAAACATATTAAGCAGCGCAACTGTTTTCAACATTGATAAAAAGAAGGAATGTTTCTTGAGCACCGAATCATATTAGAATGATTTCTGAATGATGTGATGGCTGCTGAAAATTCAACTTTGCCAGAAATGAATGACTTTTTAAAATATATGAATACAGAAAATGGTCATTTTACATTATAGTAATATTTCACAATAGTACTATTTTTACTGTATTTCTAATCAAATAAATGCAGCCTTAAAAATCTTAAAAAACATTAAAAAATCTTGTTGACTAAACTTTTGAATAGTAGTGTAGGAAGACAACAAGTCTGCACATGTCAAAAACTTTCTTATAAATGATGTGATAAAACAGTATAACATTGCTAGAAATGACTACATTTCAGAACTGTAGTAGGATGTTTATTAGGATACAAATTTGAATCAAAATGCAAAACAAAAAAATGTAATTCATTTGTATAAATTACAAATTGATAAATATTTTATATAAAATTGTCTTGGGGAAATGACAGGCAAAATAGACCTTTGAAGGTTTAAAGGGTGTATGTTTTGTTTAGTGAGGCAAAAATACATACAAGACGAATGATAAAATGAATAATAAAATGAATGATTCAAGAAGCTGAGGCAAGATATGGAGATTGTGGAATCTGGAAGTCCATAGAAGTGTCCTCTGTTTTCAGGAGGAATAGAAAATGTCATGTCAGCCAGACAAAGTCACGGTCAGAGATGCTTGATACATTTGTATTTCTTTAATGGGACAGGATGGTTTATCTGTGAGGGTCTGTAGCATCCACACAACTCTCAGCTGAATTAGTCAATGCTTGAAAAGTATTACTTTCACATGACTTTGGGATTTCTCATTCATTTATGGCCAAAAGCACACATACAGACTCATCAACACGTGACTTAAAATTCATGATTCATGCACAATGAAGTGTTACTCTATTTGCTGTGAATGTATTCTGTCCTTAATGAGCCACAATATGATCCTCTTGACTTTCAGCTAACATTTGATCTAATGCTAATAGGCTAAACATTACAGAAAATTATAGTTAATGGCTTCGAAATTTGACATACAACAATCTCTCTGCTTACATATAATAGCCTGTATATAGGAAGGCACTGTAAAGTCATACATTCATCTGAACCAAACAAATGAAGGTAAAATGATTCTTATTTTCAGCTTGTTGATGAATCCCTGAGCCTTGAAATCTACAAGCTGACCTGAATCTTTGGCCAATTGAAAGCTTCCTTCCTTTACGTTAATGGCTCATTTAGGACTGTGACACAAGCTGTAGCCAAATCAGTCATCAAGTGAAGAAAGTGCCTTGTTTTCTAAAAAGGTTCTGAAGCCCCACCCTGGAGTGCTGAGGAAGAAACGAATGAAGAGTTGAATGTGGCGCAGTGCATGCTGGGACCTCTGTTTCCTGAAGGGACTGCCAGACAGTTTCCCCACCACAAGGAAGTAAAGCCGACAAGCTGCCAGGCAACAACACCCTCATCACACATATAAGATCAGGTATGTCTAAGGGGCCGGTTCACACACTGCTTTTGAACAGAGTGTGGCAGTGGGGTTCCGGAAGTAAAAATCCCATTCATTTTCTGCATAAGGGAATTGATTTTGAATTATAACTTCTAAACCTTTAAAGACAAACCTACTGTGAGCTATGAGGTTGTTAATCAATGGGGTATGCTTCAGTTAAAACCATCAGCCCATATTATTTTAACTTATTTTCAAATAATCATGTTCAAAGGTAGAATTCCTGGTGAAAAACTACATCACCCATGATTCTGCAGCGAAATCCACCAATGAGAGAATTACAACAAGCAAATCACACTAAAAGAGCTCTCAGTTGACTGCCCACTCCCATAAAGCACTGCAAATGACATGACTCTCAAACTATTTCAATATTTGTACATATATGCATATTTTGCAATAAACATAAAATGTTGTTTCTACGTATATACACAATCAGCATATTTAAATTTTAATTAAATATGAAAATTTTGAATTCAATTTTCATTCACAATGCTTCATGGGATTGTAGTTCTTCACCCCATTAAAGTGAATATGTACATATTCTTGCACCTTTTTTGTTTTTCAAATTTTCAAATACTTTTTTTGCTTCAAATCAAAATTTGTACTGTTGCGATTCACCTCATAGCTAGTTGCTTTGCATGGCTTAAAACTCTTAAATTAAGACTTTTTTTATCCTTGTGAGGGGGAAAAAATCAATGCAAAAAAAAAAAAAAACCTTTCAGAAGTAGGGCTTCTAATAACAATGGGAAGGCATGGTTGCACTATATTGTTTCTGTTGTTACAAATTTTCACACACAAGCAGTGCATTTTAAATGCAACTTTTAGCATCTCAAAACCCTGCTTTGTTTCCTTTACATTCAGCTGTGTCTTGAACGTAAGAACACATTCTGTGTGAACTACAATATTTATAGATAGTCACTAATTACACTAAAGGCCTGTCCTCAAGGACACCCCAATCACAGAACAAATGCCTTGGGCATTATGATATTAGTACTAATAAATTCTCAGATAGTTTTTTTTTTTTTTAAAGTAAATACAAAAAGAAAAAACTTCATTAACCAATAGTATTAATAAGTTTCTAAACACTAAAAAGGAACTAGAACCCCTTTTCTCTGAAATGTGTTTAAGGGATTACTTCCTCTATACTGTTTTATGTGTTCTTAAGATACCAGAGGATGGTATCAAAATGTTTAGTGGTCTTACGAAATCCCAAAACACACTCTCTCCCCTTAAAATTCATCAGTAGGGATCTCAGTACAGTGTAAAATCCTAATATTTTACTTAATCTTGTATTTCTCTAATTTCACAGATTAAGGCTGTGTTTCTTGGTCATTGTTTACTGAAAACCTATTTTTTTCAAACATTCCATAACATTCCCACCATTTCTATGCATTCCTGTGTGTAATTCAATTAAAATGCCTCTATCCTCTCTGTATTTTCAGAGGAGTATACAGGGCTTCTTTTGAGCCACAGGTTGAGGACTGAGGAAGGCACGCACTGCGTCTGCAAACACGTCCTTGATGCCGTCCTGGCTGAGTGCCGAACACTCCAGGTACTTGACGGCGTGGATCTGGCGAGCCAGAGCCTGGCCCTGCTGGTGTGTGATGGGTGCCTGGTTCTGCTCCTTCAGCTTCTTCAGCACATCTGCATCGTTGCGAAGATCACTCTTGGTCCCCACCAGCAGGATGGGCACGCTGGGACAGTGGTGCGTCACCTCTGGGTGCCACTTGTGCTTGACGTTCTCATAGGACGGGGGGCTGGAGATGGAGAAGCAGATGATGAAGACATTGGTCTGAGGGTAGGACAGCGTGCGAAGGCGGTCGTACTCCTCCTGGCCTGCTGTGTCCCACAGATTGAGGCTGATGGTGCGGCCGTCCACAGTGACTTGGGAGCTGTAGTTGTCGAACACGGTGGGAATATACTCTTTGGGGAACGCGCCGGTCGTGTACGAGATGAGCAGGCAGGTTTTTCCGACTGCTCCGTCCCCCACCACCACACACTTGATGCTCTGCATGATAGACTCGACTTCAGCAGTCTGCAGAGAAAGAGACATTGCTCTGTGTTAGAGGACAACATGGCAACAGTGTTTAGATGAATAAAAGAATAGATAAATGCACAATATATCAATAACATATTGGTTATTGGAGTTTTTTTGTATTGGCCGATAGTGGATGGTTAATTTAAGAATTAATCTTCAAAAACACAAATAATTAAATAACATTGTTTAATATCATCTTTAGCAAAACTCTAACTTAATATTACTATACAATATTACATAATACTGTACAAATGTTTGGCACAAAAATGTGGTCTGAAAAAAGGAAGTAAAACAGTATTTGCATGTTTTTAAACAGCCATTCAGACTTTTGTATTCGATATGGTGTCAGATAACACCAAATACAGAGAAACGAGAGCAGCTTATGGACAGTGTTAATGTAGTACAATTGAGATGCTATTATAATTTTTTATATTTTGACATTTTTTATTTTTGTATTTTCCATTTTAATTTTAAAGTTTTAGTAATTTTCTTGAGTGCTTTTGTCATATTTATGTATGTATGTATGTATTTATTAACATATATCTGTTTGTTTATTCACGTTAAAATCACACTAAATTTTTACACCACACATTATTAGTCTTGGTGTGATCAGGCCTTAAATTCACTTAAAATTGCATTTAAAACAATTATTTTAATTTTAAGTGTTTTATTTGTAATTTATATAGGCAAAATACTATACTGTAAATTGTAATATGAACCATAACATGAAAATAATTACCAACATATTGGGCTTCAGCCATAATTTAACTTAATTTAATATCAGTGCACACAGTCCACATACATATTTTAAAAGTTGAGGATGTACAGTATGAATGGATCATTGGAAAGAAAGATTTACACACATGCAAAGAGAGGGACAAAAGAAAAAGATTAGCAAGGTTAACATTTGGGCTGTTATAAAACAATGTTTTGAATATACAGTCAGTCTCCCCCAGTTCCTTCTACTTCCCTTTGCAGTTTAATTGATAAGCTGTGTATATATATCATAACACAAATGAATTCCCACTTGTAAATTAGGGGATTATTCACCTCCTCAGAAATGCAAAAAACAAGAGCTTTTGTCCTCCTTTCTTTTCACTTTCCATTTGGGACATATTCAAAGGAAATATGACCAATTTGGGTCATACAAATGACTCAAATAGCTCTCTGTAGGAAATATGACACGCAGATTAAGATTTTCGAAAACATGTACGCTGGAAAATGTCAAAACAGGTGTGATTATGTTTCAGTTAATGCTGAAGACATTTCATGTCAGTAGGGGACAGATTCAATACACATATCTGTAATTATTCAACATTTGTGAAAGTTTGTGCAAAGTCAGCATGGCTAATTGCTGTTTTTGGGGAAATGGAGCTGGAAAGTAGATTTACTGACCAGCTTTCCCCATTACATCAGAGGCCAGTATAAAGTACTGTCAGCAAAGCACTTTCTAAAATCTTTCAACAGCTATTTGGGACTCTTTTCGTGTTATTGTCTGTTAATAATTACAATTTTTGTTTCCTCAATAGTTTGATCATGATATTCAAGCCATCTTGCTTGTAGCAAATGTGAGCGATTTGACCAGAAAAGCTCAGTTCTCTCTTTCTTTCTCACTTATTCCAATTTCCAAGAGTCTGGCAGATGTTTGACCCCAGGAGAAAGGAGTGAGACGGACTCTGCCCAATCTCCAGAGACGCTCAGAGAGAGAAATACTCCGAGCCCTGCCCTCCTCTGCAAGGCGTTAGCCAATGTGGTTAGTGAACCAAGAGCTCAAAGAAACAGCACTGACAGCTCAGTCTGGGTGGAGTCTGTCCTGTCACTTCCAGCACAGCTTTGTCATATCACAATACTGATGTTTAGCAGCAGAACTGCTCAGTGTTATATAAAATAGATCAAAACAAGTGCTATAGAATTGCATTGACATTTTTTACTGCGTCATTCATTGTAGTTTTACTGTGTTCAACTCATACTTGGAGTAGATTTTAATTCGTTGTAGATATTCAGGATTGGGAAAACCCATGATGGTTGATGAATAATCCACATATTGTCTATAGTGGTTAATACATATAATTTGTCACAGTAATTCGTCCTTTGTACTCTGCTTTATGTGTCTTCAGAGTTTCTCGTCAGTAGCCTACTTAAATTCAAAGTGGTCAAAAGTGCCGTGGGCACGTCACTGGAGGTTGCAACTAGCTATAAGTTTGGCATCATTATGAAATGAGTTAAAGACAGCAATTTGACATGTATTCATACACGACGGTACCTGTCAATAGGCTACTCTTAATTAGCCTACAGTGCTTTACAGTGGATGTGTGTTATTCTATGGGAGTGGTCCCTTTTCCTGCTCTCTGATTTAAAAACTCAAACCGCTGCTTATTCATCAAGCCGCGGTCGAAAGCGAGAACATTACAGCAAATTTAGAAAAATCTCACACGTTCCAAATGATAAATCTGCCTCTGCGCAACTTCTCTTCAACAAACCAAGTCAGAAATGAATAAACACAGATAAATGTTGTCTAACAAACTGTAAGCTATCACAGGACTACATACAATCATTAAACAACATATCTTACCAAACATATCAGATGCTCTTGAGGACCGTAATCCCGCTGCTGTGGAAGTTAGTTTAAGTCTGTAGGACGTGAGTGAGTTCACCCCTCAGAGAGGAAGTTAATGGCTTAACTGCATATTTGAGGAAGTTTACCCATATTGTCTATAGTGGTTATGGCCCTTGTTTAAATATCATTTTTGATTTTATCACACTTTATCACTGAGCCAAATGATGCAAATCATGTATAAGCCAACAGAGGAACAGACAGTTCTAATGGCTTCTAGTTTTTAGCAGCAAAAGGAGAACTTACACTAGATTGCAAAGTATGCAGAAAGAAATCAAATCTAGAAGTGGTCAGTTATATTTATTCATTCCTTACACTCTATCCTGAATCTAGAATTTCTTTCGTCATGAAACTGAAACTAAAGCGTTACTGTCAGATGGATTGTAATTGCACACTAATTCCTCTGTATTTCCTCCACTCAAGCAGGTGAAAATGAGAAAAAAAAACTGATCATGGGAACTGTCGCTACAATTTGTGACACAACAAGTCACCATCTTTCCAGTGACTCACCGCAGAAAAGTGTGCCTCAGTAAGCCCTTGTGTCATTCAAGATATTCAGCTGTTTTGTAATGGTATTTTCACATTAGGAAGTTAACAATAACGGCTCTGAGTGTAGAAGATCCTCTCACAGATGTGCTATTATCTTGGCTAACTAGAATGAACGTGGTAGGTTAGTAAAATATGCTAAAGCAAATATTACTTCTCAAATGGAAGTTGCTATTTGGTTCGGAAATAGATAAGTATCCCAACTTCTGCATGGCTCTGTTAGATTTTTAAAATGAGGATGTTTCTCAGTTCCTCATTCCCTCTGTAAAACCCAACTGCCTTTTTTTCTTTTTCTCCAAATTTGCATAATTTCCCATTCATTTTCTCAAAGAACTATACTAGCCTATGTTTCAACATGCACAACCAAAATTTCACAGAAAGGTCTTCACACCAAGAGGTTATGTTTTGTGATAATATATATATATGTACATTAAAATACATTTTTGTTTCCATACATATAATTTGTCACAGTAATTCGTCCTTTGTACTCTGCTTTATGTGTCTTCAGAGTTTCTCGTCAGTAGCCTACTTAAATTCAAAGTGGTCAAAAGTGCCGTGGGCACGTCACTGGAGGTTGCAACTAGCTATAAGTTTGGCATCATTATGAAATGAGTTAAAGACAGCAATTTGACATGTATTCATACACGACGGTACCTGTCAATAGGCTACTCTTAATTAGCCTACAGTGCTTTACAGTGGATGTGTGTTATTCTATGGGAGTGGTCCCTTTTCCTGCTCTCTGATTTAAAAACTCAAACCGCTGCTTATTCATCAAGCCGCGGTCGAAAGCGAGAACATTACAGCAAATTTAGAAAAATCTCACACGTTCCAAATGATAAATCTGCCTCTGCGCAACTTCTCTTCAACAAACCAAGTCAGAAATGAATAAACACAGATAAATGTTGTCTAACAAACTGTAAGCTATCACAGGACTACATACAATCATTAAACAACATATCTTACCAAACATATCAGATGCTCTTGAGGACCGTAATCCCGCTGCTGTGGAAGTTAGTTTAAGTCTGTAGGACGTGAGTGAGTTCACCCCTCAGAGAGGAAGTTAATGGCTTAACTGCATATTTGAGGAAGTTTACCGAAGTAAATGTGTATGCCAATGTTTAAGAGGGCGTAACAGTCTGTCAAGCAAGCGCGCGCTCCCACTTTAATCAAGTTCGCTCGCGTGCACTGTCTGCTTCGTTCTGGTTTTGTCGCGTCGTGTTGTTAGTTCGCAACGTAGAACATATGCATCACAGGGAAATCCCGTATCATCACAACCGCAAACTCATGTTGAAACTACCTGAACTAAAGAGGAGCCGTGAGAATATCGACATGAATCATTCACAGAGCCGTGGGTTTTGCTCGCCCTTGCAAAAGAAATAACATGCTTATCATATTTTCCACCAAATCCACTAATATAAACCCTTAAATGAATAAAATCTGTTTTCGTTTATAGGCCCATATCGTTACAAATTCGTTATAGCTTTCTTCTTTTGTGGAGAACAAAAATAGAAGTTTCCAATAATGTTCAGGTTGCTCTCTCATACTATGAAAGTGAATGGGGAATGTGGCTGTGATAAGTTTTAATAAATAAAGTAATAAATAAATAAAAACACATTGACTTTGGGTTGTAGCCTATGTAAACGTTGTTTTTGCTGTATGAAAAAAAATTGAAAGATAGGCATGAGTAGTCTAAATAATGGCAATTTTTATTTGATTGAAACTATCCTTTGACCATTTATATGGAATATCTTGCAATGTTAAATGCTTTCAAACAGACAGACAGATAGATAGAGATCATCTCAGTACTGTGCTAAATTGATGCATCAACATATTTTTGACACATCAAACTATGTACTGATAAACAGACGAAAACTGGGAGGGGTTTCTTCATTTTTAGCTGCATGGTTGAGTATCATGCCACTAGATGGCTGTGTCTTTCTGCTTTTAGAGAACAAACCTCAAACCCGAAGAATTTATATCCCAAGAAACTATTTGCTTTACCATTAGACAACCTCCAAAAGCAACACCGAGGGGTTTTGGATAACTCAGAAAAGAGGACTTTAAAACCATGCATGTAATGAACCTCGAATTTTAATTTATAAATCCGGGACATACTTTTGTGTCATACATTTGGAAAACAACTCTTTTTCATTTTGGACGTTTTGTTCGAAACGCGTATGAAAACCAGTGATGGACACATATTTTTGACAATATTATTAATAGCGCAGACTATGGGGGATGTGGAGAATGCATGTCGAACATCTTTGAAGTATTGTTTAAAATTGTTGGACCATTAAAATGACAACATTTTTTGCAGCGGAGTTAAAACAACATCCCGCTGATTAGAATAACATCCTACAGCTATCGGTTGCCTAATGGATCTCAGTCAGATCAAATGAAACTGTTACATCTGATTTGTCAAGAGCGACTCCAGCAATTTGCAACCTTCGGATTTTAACAGGTAATCTGATATTTTCAGTAACATTATGAGTCTGAGGCTACATGTGCATTTGCATCATGACGACAACTGTAAAACAGAGCTCGTGCTACTTTTGCTTATGTCCTACCGTATGCTATCTGATATGAGCCAAGTGGCAATATACACAAAGGCGGAACTTGATCATACCACCAAAAGAGGCATATTTGCCGCTATTTTTATAGTAAGATGAATTTGATTATCCGGCATCTGAGTAAGTTTGCCAAATATGTAAATATATCAAAACGATTGTGAAATGCCACGCGTCACTGGACTGAAGCGTGCAGCTGCATCTGGAGGCTTTTTTCATGTACGTATACACTTCAACTATAACCCATATGGATATGGCATCATGCGTTAACACATCTCTTTAAACAAATAAGTTTCTAAGGTTTATGATACTTGCACTTATTTTTATTATTAGCCTATCATTAATACATAATCCAGCAGTGACTAGGATCTTTTTCATTTTCGCTAGTGACTTTTCACCAATCACCAGACATTATACAGTATATTCCAATAGGCCCATCTATAAAAAATATTGCTGGTTGTTCCAGTTCCAGTTTACTAGTTTGATATTAGTATGTATTCCTTAGTTATTTGTAACCATTCAAAAAGGCACTAGTATGTATTTTAGTTTTACAGGCATTCATGGAATACATAGTAGTAGTCCTAACTTAGGTTTACTAGTTGGATTTTTAATTAAACTGATTCTAACTAAAACAACTGTAGCTAGTGATAATAAGAAATTTTACCAGTAATACCTGGGACACCCATAAATAGATACTATAGCTGTAGGGTCTACTTCTACTAGTAGAACTAGTAGATTCTATTCAATAGAAAGTAAATTGTCACTACTGGGATAGTGATTAGTAGCAAAATAGTAATTATTAGTGACAAATCACTATTTGAAGAAGTACTGGCATACACACTACTGAAACTGAAACAATTTGCTTTTGGATTACTTACTAGCAAGTGAAAATAAATACCAGTAACCTAAAAATAGGTGTGACATTAATGAATGTTAAAAAGATTAGCTGTAATACTCAACAATGTGTTTATGTCATAATAGTATATGTGAGTGAATGTTTCGTTATTTCTCATTGCCAGATTAGTACTTTTCTGTTAAATGTTTTCTTTCTATTTTAAGTTTAGCATGGATCTTTTGAGATTTGCCAGACATTGTATGTACATTGCATGGCTTGGCTTCTTATGGAGGAGTGCAGCAGATCAGCCCAGCCTGACAGACCACCTGCAGTCTGCCAATGGACTATCTGGTAGGAAATCATCATTCAGTTGAATCACTCAGTGTTATTTCCCATGTTTTATGTGTCTGTATAGTGTGAATTTTGTGTGTTACATAATCCCAGTAGAACAGTGTTTGTTGTAGAGAGAAATGTCACACTCTTAGAAATGGTATATGATATACACCGTTCTTATATGCACTGCTAGATAAGATAAAGCGCTTCCCTTGTCTAGTCAGAGCCTCATGGGTGATGATGTCAAACCAATCTTTCACAATCCATATGCTACACTTATGTGCTGCTGACCAAGAATTAAAAGAATTCACCTGACAAAATTATGTGTCAGGACACTGGAATTAAAGGAATAGTTCACCCAAAAATAAGAAATTGTTGAAAATGTACTCACCCTCAGGCCATCCAAGATGTAGATGAGTTTGTTAATTCATCAGAACAAATTTGGAGAAATTTAGCATTACATCACTTGCTCACCAATGAGTCATCTGCAGTGTATGGTGCCATCAGAATAAGGATCTAAACAGCTGATAAAAGCATTTCAATAATCCAAAAGTAATCCACATGAGTCCAGTCCATCAATTAACATACACTGAACAAAATTATAAACGCAACACTTTTGTTTTTGCCCCCATTTTTCATGAGCTGAACTCAAAGATCTAAGACTTTTTCTATGTACACAAAAGGCCTATTTCTCTCAAATATTGTTCACAAATCTGTCTAAATCTGTGTTAGTGACTTAATGATTATATTTGTTTCTTACTAACACACACCTTTTCAGTTTACAAGATGTTAATTGATGAACTGGAGTTGTGTGGATTACTTGTGGATTATTGAGATGTTTTTATCCGTATTGTGAAGTACTTCCAAGAGAAATGGAATATTGAATGAGAAAAACAGAGGGCGTGGCTTGTTTTTTTCGACTGCGAACTGATTGGATGTAGTAAAGTACGCGTTTCATTCAGAAATGGAGGCAGATTTGGAGGGGCGTTTTTAAGGAGGTTATGCTCAAGCCCAAGCTACCAAACTGACGTCATCAGACAAAGTCCGTCATTTCAGAGGGGAGGTGCATTTTCAGATTTGGATGAAAGAATACGAAGGCAAACAATTTTTTTTTTTTTTGTGGATTGACTTGCACAGATTAATTGTTCACAACAAAAATAGCAGTGTGCGCTAACAAAACAAATATAGTCAATTTTGATTTCATGTGTACTTTAAGGAGAATGAACTATCAGATACAGGAGGTTTAGTTTAGCCAATGCACGGAGCAACATAAATGCATCCCATGAGGCAAGACTGCTGGAATATGTCACCCTCGCAAGTTTTGTTGTCCATCAAAGTGTCCTCTTGTGCTTTGACACTAATGTTCAGTTTCCACTTAGCAAACTGATCCTCGTCCTGTCGTGCACCTTCACAAGCAGGCAGGTTGTAGTACATTCAAATCTCTTGAAAGAATAAAATGTAGACCTGGTGAAAAGATTGGAAAAAGAAACACTCTTATATATTAAACAGTGGCATTAGCATTTATTTTATCTTGCTATTTTACTCTTCCAAACTTCAATTCCTTTCTACCCTCATTGCTCAGGAAAGATGAATAAATCCTTTGGCTTTCTGAAAACTGTAATTTTAGCTGCCAGTCTTGTGTGCAGTGACCTTTGGGGTCAATTTTCAATGGTCAGTTAGTTGAGTTAAGTGGGTTTTTCATGGTCTTGACTTTGGGAATCACTCAAATTTTCCAGAAGGGTTCTGTCTGTTCCTGATTTCTGACACTTCACAGGGGAGACCAATGGACTGGAGAGTTACTGACGTTTTCTGTTACTATTTCTGTTGTTCTAGTTATTAGTTTATAGTAAGTCACTTGGATAAATATTGTAATCAAGCTGCCTTTAAAGTGGTTTCAGAGGTCATCATCCATTTTCCCAGGCCCTCTGCTTCACTGGTGTTAATTCAAAATGTGCATCTCTTCCATCTTTGAGATGGATCTCTTTGCATGTATCTGGAAAAGGCTCTAAATTGCATGTATTAGGTCCAGGGCTGTGTTGACTTTATCCAACTGTTTTAGAAAAGGACTTAGCATCTCAGCTGCCGGTGGAATGCATTCCCCAGAACATTTCTCCTTTTATAGGAAATGGTGGGAACAATTAGATTTTCAGTGTTATCTCCCTTTAGGGTTGAGAGCTGAAAAGTTGGACCACTATGGAGATTGTTTTATTGGAATGCAAAATGGCATGTTACATTTGATATTCCGGGTTCAATGCAAGCTCATTCTGAGCGTTTGGGCACATTGTCACAAGTACAGAAGGAGAAGACTCAGAGGTAATGTCAACAACAAAATCGTTATTTGCAGGTATTTCAGAGAAGCAGCATGGTAAACAGGTGAGTATATAATTCAATGAAGATAGATAGCACTTAGCTTGAGCATAAACTGTTCTTTGTTTGTTGCAGGTGCTGGCAGGTGTGCGGTGAAGGCTTAGTGAAGACTAGAACTGAAGACTGACTGAAAACAGGTAAGTATCCAAGGAAGTAGCCAGGTAAGTCCTCATACGTGGAGAGACCAGACCAGACCAGGAAGAAGTGGAGAGTAACTGCTCTTATACAGGGCTTGATGAGATCATCTATGGCAGGTATGGGGATGGCTGAATGGGTGCAGGTGTTGACCAGAAGGGATGCTGGGAAATGTAGTTCCCAGTGGACTGGGCTGGTGACTGAGGATAGTGAATGGACTGGTGACTATGATAGAAGATAGTGAATGGACTGGTGACTGGGGATTGTGACAGGAGGATCGGCTGAGTGACGAGCATCTGGAGGGCCGGCTGAGTCACGGGAGTCTGGAGGGCTGGCTGAGAGATGGACGTCTGGAGGGCTGGCTAAGAGACGGGTGTCTGGAGGGCTGGTCTCGACAGACAGGAGATAGGAGAACAGGAGATTCCGTTGGCCGCTGTGGCTGGGACACAAAAGAAAGGCAAACTGGAAATTCCATCGCCCACCATGGCCGGGACACAGGATACAGGAGAACGGAAAAATTCTGTCGGCAGCCATGGCCACTTCTCCGTAACCGAGTAACCCGAGGTTGCCTTCTTGGGTCACCGACTGATAGACCGAAGACTCAAGAACGACCTCCATAGTCGTATAAGGACAAACAGGCAATTTGGGAGCTAACACCTCTACTTCGCTACGAGTGGTAGGGCAGTGTGCGGCCCAAACACACAGTATGGCTACTGTCGTAACCGGGAGAACAATCAGTGACAGAAGGGATTCTGAATCCTCTAGGCTGGGAACAGTCTGACTGGGTACTGGCCTATGGGCTATGACCTCAGGAGACTCTGGTCTAGCACTCATGATTGCTGGAGATTCTGACTTGGTTCCCCTGTTAATTGAGGTTTCTGGCAGTTGAAAGTTTACTAGGTTGAGCTTTGTGATGAGAGCAGGCACTGGGCTGTGCTCAGGGACAAGAGCGGGCACTGGGCTGAGCTTGGGGACGAGAGCAGGCACAGAACTAGGGATAAGGGCTGGGGCCATCACTATACTCTGGTCAGGGGCTGGAGCCATCGCTGAACTCTGGTGAGGGGCAGGAGCCATCACTGGAATCTGGTCAGGGGCTGGAGCCATCACTGGAATCTGGTCAGGGGTCGGAGCCCTGTGCTCTGGAGTGGCTTTACGGTCTGGAAGGAATTCTCGTACGGACTCAAGGACTGGACTTAAATTGTGAGTTATTACAAAGGCACTAGCGGGCTCTGATGCCAATTCAGGGATTAGAATGGGCTCCCATGTAGATTTAGAGAGAGTAATGGCCTTGACACTAACTTCTGGGGCTGGAACGGGCTCGATACAGATCACTTAGACTGGAGTGGACACGTTACTGAACTCCGGGAATGGAGCCATCTCTGTACTGTGCTCCTTGGCTGGAGCTGACACTGGAGCGGACTCAGGGGCTGGAGCCAACACTGGAGTGGACTCAGGGTCAGGGGTTAGAACCACTGAGGACCATCTCTTCTTCCTCAGCCTCAGCCTATTAGGACTCTGTCATCCCACGATGTTAAATGACAATACTGCAGGAATTCCTCCACATATCCTTCTATACTGCGGCCATTTTGGTAAATGGAATGCAGAATATCCTCTGTGGTGACTGCCACTGAAATCATGTTCTGTCACAAGTACAGAAGGAGAAGATTCAATGGTAACATCAACAACAAAGTCTTTATTCACAGGTATTTCAGAGAAGCAGCATGGTAAACAGGTGAGTATACAATTCAATGAAGATAGATAGCACTTAGCTTGAGCATAAACAGTTCTTTGTTTGTTCCAGGTGCTGGCGGATGAAGGCTTAGTGAAGACTGGAACTGAAGACAGGTAAGTATCCAAGGAAGTAGCCAGGTAAGTCCTCATACGTGGAGAGACCAGACCAGACCAGGAAGAAGTGAAGAGTAACTGCTCTTATACAGGGCTTGATGGGTTCGTCTATGGAAGGTGTGGTGATGGCTGACTGAGTGCAGGTGTTGACCAGAAGGGATGCTGGGAAATGTAGTTCCCAGTGGACTGGGCTGGTGACTGAAGATAGTGAATGGACTGGTGACTGGGGATTGTGACAATAATGTAGATTACCACAAAAATTATTTAGTCTCGACTCTTCTTTTCTGAAATTGGGGAGTTTTGAAGGATTTAAAAGCAGAAATGTGAAGAAATTAGAAGAATTTTATAAAAGCACTTACATTAAAGGTTTCTGTTAAAATATCAGTATTATTGGAGCTGTAAAGCTGTTTGAATCATTTTTTTTCTGTCATTTTAGGGTTTAATGTTGTGTTATCATGACGGTTGACTTGGTATATAATGTCATTTTACACAGAAAAGGTTAATAAGCCATTTTTTCACACCTATTGTCTACATCTTGTGGCTATTCTAATGAAACTGAGCATTTTAACATTTATGAAATGGTATTATTCACTACCATTGTAAACTGAATTTTTGAGTTATTAAAGCAATGCAGGTATGAGTCAAAATTAATTTTTGTGGTAATCAACATTGTCGATTGATCTTAACATTTATTGAACCCAGATTATTCTTTTAAATAGAAAAACAATGTTAACCACAATATTTTCAGCATTACCATTGTACAGTTAGTAGTATTTGTTCTACTGCTATCTCCAAGCATTCAAACCTCTAGCGTACATTGTGTAAATTACCCATCTGATCATGGCCTGTGTGTGACTTCATGCAGCGATATTAAAGGGTCTTTTTACAACAGCTTTGTAAATCCTCAAGGCAGATGTAGATGCAGAACTCTGACGGTCCTCTCAGATCTTTTTAAAGGTCTCTGCCATCCAGTCAAGCAGACCAAACATCCCTCCATTTTTTCCTCCCCTCTCCTTATCCTAGGCCTCTCCGTTTTCCTCATTCTCCTACAAATAATGCTCCAGCCAGAGATACAGGAAAAGAAATGGCGGAAATTGATTGTTTTAAACGAGACATTCATTGCCTCTGTGGGATTTTATCACATGCTAACAGCAGCTTGCTTGAGTGTGTCCTGGCTGTTTAAGGGACAGTTCACTCAAAAATGAATTTCTGTCATAATTTACTCACCTCATGTCATTCCAAATCCACACGACTTTCAATATAAATTAGTAAATCTCATTAAAACAAAAAATTAGGGCAAAAAATTGCATTTATTTAAAACTTAATGTATTCAGTCTTTGTTATTCTTGTGGCTCTATGAATTACTGGAGCTAAAACCGAAAAGATCTAACTAACCTCTAGTAAAAACTCCAGAATTTTGACCTTACTGGCTTTCTGTAGTCCAACGCACATTGTACACTGATGTTTAATGTCACTAAACGAGTAGTTGTGTTTGTTTAGAAGTTAGTAGGCTGTTATAGTGTTTGCCTCTGAGGCAAAAAATAGTTTCTGGATTTGCTCGAGTTTGTACATTTCATGACAACATGGTTTAAAAATAAAGTTTTGCTGAATCTGCAAGTAGCCAGGTTTGTGTCTTAAAGTTGGCCCAGATGAAGCTACAGGAAATACTTTGCAAATACACCTTTTGTGTTCCACATAAGAGTTTGGTGATGACAGAAATGATAACAGAACTTTATGGGGAGTAAACTATCTGAATCCGGCTGTATGTCAGATGATATCTTAAGTGAATCGGGTGGAGGGAATGCATACAGGGAATTCAACAAAAATATGTGAGGAAATTCCTGAGACCCTCTTTGTTGTTTTTTTCTAATGCATGTCAAATGCCTCTTTCTCAGTTAAAATCAATGGCAAAATCTGTCTGTCTTGCTTCTTAAATTGGTAAATCTATGCCATTAACTTTACTTGTAGCCGGTTGAGTTGCTAATGTGACTGCTTGATCCGTGTCTGGTTAGCTCAGTTTAGTTAGCAAGCTAAACTGGATGTGGTGTCAACATTTGCAAACAGTTCCCTCAGAGTCATTATGTTTCTTAATAATGCAGAAACTCAGTGAGTGCTAATAATGTGTTTGTGTGATGACAAGTGTTTTTTTTAAGTTTGAGTTGTGGTCGTGGCATGTTTGTTTAGTGGTTTTGCACAGACACTATCTTTCACCTTCTGTGAAATGGGGACAGAAATAGCTGTGCAGATCTTATGACCTTAAAAGTTTATTTTATCAAAACGGATCAGCCTGAAAGAACACAGTCCGCTCATGGACAATTCACTGATTTGATGACATGAATCATCAATGAACTGACTTTAGCTGGAAAAAATGACTCTTTGTTATTGTCCTCTTGCATTATTGACAATTTATTTTCCTGTTTGACATTGTAAAGGTGACTTGACTTGACAAGTAACATAAGCATTTTTAATTACATCCACACTTAGTTATAAAATGTCAGCTGATCCCAGTTTAAAAAAAGCTTGAAACGGTTGATTTCTTATGTTAATACCTGCTCCATAATTAAGTCTTTTAATTCTTTGAGACAAAGGTTAACTCCAGGACATCCACTCCTGCCTACCGCCATATTACAGCAATATCTACAATACCTCAGCAGCTGTGCTGTGTCTCCATCTATAAATAGTTTAAATGTCACTCTATTGCTCTTACGTGGATATGTTACCAACTGTATGAGCGTCACCCTCAAATTGACCTCTCCTGTTACAATGGGCTCAAACATTGGACCCTTACAAAGGCACCGCTGTTGGTTCAGTTTTTAGCTGTACATCATTACTAGTGATAAGTTCCTCATCCTTGCTTAGTTTCCAAACTCTAACCAGATAGCACACGTACGTCTGCAAGTTGTCTATTAAAGATCTCTTCATCTGGAAAGCATCTACTGTGTACAAACATCTGATAGACATCTATAAGATGTCAGTTTTACATACATTCTAAATCATAAACATCTTAAAGACATATTCTAAACATCTATTTGACATCTGATAGGAAATGTCCTATAGACATATTGCAGATGAGCAAACGCTCTAAAAAATACATCTTGTAAATGCAGATGTCAAATAGATGTCTCCTTGATGTACGTGCACTATCAGGGTTTAGACGAGTATGGTTGGCATTTTTTGCTAGTGAAATGAAAATGAAGAGACCGTTTTTAATAAAGCTGAATTTGATTTAAACATTTCCCATGGATGATGCATGAATTTCACTGAGAGGACTAAATGAAAGGTCATTTGTGTCTGAATAGGCCTTTTGTGCTTTTGAAGAAGGCTTTTAACTTGGCTTTTTTGTGCAGTTATAATAGATACAGTAAGACACTCCAGATTTTTTTTTAGTAATTGTATGTGCTTAACAAGCATGTTTTCCCTGAATACATTGCAGTGGGATGGTGCATATTAGCTGTGTTGCAAAACACAGTGAACTGTCTGCAATTAATTTCAGTAGAATTTGTTGTTAACATCTTGTTAAGCTAACAGGGTAATACTTCAATAGATTGCAATGACCAGGTTCCAAAATACTAAAAACTATATATTTAGACTTTTTCAAAATCCCTATGGGAAAAATACCAAGGCTGAAAAAGATGGTGGAACGTAAACATGAACATATGTGGATTAAAATATACAATAATTACACTGAACTGCTTTATGTAATTTTAAATAAAATATAAGTGTATTTGTTCTAATAAATGCATTTATGTTACCTTGTCTGCCATCTTGGATGTTTTTTTTAATTCCACTAAGCTTGGCTTAATGAATTCTGAGATTGGGTTATATGAATACATGCAACGCTGCCATAGAGTTTGGCCAAAATTATATATCTTATATATATAGGTATCTATAATATACAGTGGGTACGGAAAGTATTCAGACCCCCTTAAATTTTTCACTCTTTGTTATATTGCAGCCATTTGCTAAAATCATTTAAGTTAATTTTTTTTCCTCATTAATGTACACACAGCACCCCATATTGACAGAAAAACACAGAATTGTTGACATCTTTGCAGATTTATTAAAAAAGAAAAACTGAAAAATGCTCAGTATTTAGTAGAAGCACCCCTTTGATCTAATACAGCCATGAGTCTTTTTGGGAAAGACGCAACAAGTTTTTCACACCTGGATTTGGGAATCCTCTGCCATTCCTCCTTGCAGATCCTCTCCAGTTCTATCAGGTTGGATGGTAAACGTTGGTGGACAGCCATTTTTAGGTCTCTCCTATATCTTATATATATAGGTATATATAATATATCTATATCAGTTAATATGGCTACCTTGTGGTACATTGGTCACGTTGAATGCTTGCTTAAAATGATCCTTCTGTTAGCTTACTAGGTTTTGTAACATAACAATTGTGTCGTTCAAGTGGACTTGCTTTCTCATATCTCTTATATATATTTTTTTTCTCTCTTCAGAACTGTGTGGTATCGATGAGCTTCTTTGTCATGATGAAAATGCTCTGTTAAGTTTCGAGGCCATCCGCAACATTCACAAAGATATGGATGATGATGCAGACGGCAGCGTGGATGTGACAGAGACGGATGGGGTGAGGGCTGCAGCGTTTGTGTGTGGTTTTGTGGTATGCTGTGTTGTGAGGTTGAAGTTGCAGCACAGTGCATGGTGCCTAATGTACAAACAAGTTCTTGCTTGAAAGGACACAGGTCTCTGTAATATGTATTGTCATAAGTGCTTTACAAATACAAATGACCTTGACTTGACAGTACAACAGTGCAGCACAGCGAAGTACAACATATACTGTACTGGCTTACAGTGTACAGCTGTACTGGTACAAGTCTGAGTGTGTTGCAAAGCTTTTGCAGAGATGAGGAATGCAATTGTGCAATTAATGTTGTTATTGGGTTTTTTCATTGGTCATATCTTTCAACTGTGATTTTTCTTATGATAAACTACATTCTTCAGTGAGGTGCAGATATATAAATGTGAAATATGTCTTTGTATTATAAAATTATCATTTGAATCATAAATGTAGAGATTGAAACTTTTTTTTAAACTTGGGGTCTGTAATATTTTTTTTTAAACAAATGAATACTAAAAATAGTAAATTAATACTAAAAAGCTAAATTTTTACATCTTTTTCATCTTCAAATGTTTCTTGAGCTGCAAATCTGCATATTAGAATGATTTCTGATGGATTACTGTTTACTTCTGATATACAGTGGGTACGGAAAGTATTCAGACCCCCTTAAATTTTTCACTCTTTGTTATATTGCAGAAGCCTTTTTTCTAAGACTCCTTTTCAAATATCAAGACTTCTTTCTTTTTGAATAGTGTGTGTAGCATTTGTAACTGCCAGTGATTATGTATTTTTGGTAATGGATTTAGATTTTTTTTTTTTTTTTTTTACTTACAGTAGTTATAGTCAAAGTAGTTTGTGATGATAGATGGGTGGATTTGTGTTCAAATCAAAGCAAATGATCTTTGGAAAATGTGACTCGTTTGGACTCAGTTTAGATGAGTGATTCCTGTTGCTACATTTCAGACGCTTTTGTACAGTATGTTTTTCCTCTAATATTTTTTTTTTTACAATAATCATGCAACCTAATTATCAAAGATACAAAGTCTTTGTTTTTTGGAAATTCAAAATCCATTTCTGAATCAGCTTGTCCCCATCAGTTTGAATGGGCATGACTTTTGCAGTGCAATCAAAAGTGATTCACCATGATTATGGTTTATGAACATAGGCTATAAAAAGCACTCTGTATTCTCTTTGAATCACCCAAAGCAATTCCTTTTTCATGAGAATGCCACATCTGAGCACTCTGAGTAAACAGTATTACTGCTGACCGACAGCAGCCTGCCCAAGGCCATAGACAGTCCTGTGAGTGTATAGCCTTTACCTGAGTCAGAGCTGATCTGAGGTATTGTGACGCGACTGGACCCAGTGAAACTGTCAGCATTTACATACTGTATGCTGTCTGAGGCTCTACAGTAGATCTACTGGATCACAACAACCCAAGACAAATATTACAAGTTAATCAAGTGTTTTGCATGCTGTGGCTTTATGTCTCTTGCCAAATGTTGAAGTATGCAAATACACAGTGCTATAAAAATAAATTCCAAAATGTGCTGGATTTTTCTCCTTGGGTTTGAAAATTGTTATGCCTATTTATTTTTGCAATCCTTAATAAACATGTTTATATTGTATTATATTATATTAATGGTTATTCACCATTTATTTACCAGCTGCATGTGACCCTATCAGAACAAACCTGTGACTCGCATGCTGTGGCTTTATGTCTCTTGCCAAATGTTGAAGTATGCAAATACACAGTGCTATAAAAATAAATTCCTTCGAGAAGCACAAATAATTAAGTCTAGGCTAGCATGTGACTGTTTTTTTTGGAAAGATCTGAGTTTTTGATTTTCATGGTGCTGGATTTTTCTCCTTGGGTTTGAAAATTGTTATGCCTATTTATTTTTGCAATCCTTAATAAACATGTTTATATTGTATTATATTATATTAATGGTTATTCACCATTTATTTACCAGCTGCATGTGACCCTATCAGAACAAACCTGTGACTCATTTTTGGGTTGCAACCCATCAGATGAGAACCACCACACCAGAGAATGCTAACATCCAGTCTTTGTTTCCTCAAACAGTTTCTAAGGGAAGACTTGAAGTACCACGACCCAAAAGGAAAACACAACAGTTTCCATAGAGCAGATCTGTTGATCACAGTGGAGGAAATGTGGAAGTCCTGGAAGGCCTCTGAAGGTTTGCACACATCTCATCAGGCTAATTATATCAGTGAAAAGCAATTAACCAGTTTTAGAGCCATTAAATCATTCCCAATAGTCCACATTATGAACCCACATCATCCTTAGATGCATGTAGAAATTAAAGCATTATGTTTGTGAAACTGAAAGCATCAAGCTTCCATCATTTGTTCAGTATATCTTCCATGGTAATATTCAGCGTCACTTACGTTTTGTTTTTTTTTGCCTATAGTGTATAACTGGACAGTAGAGAAAGCTGAAGAGTGGCTCATCGGTTGTGTGGAGTTACCTCAGTATGTTGATTCCTTCAGGAAGAATGACATCAGTGGAAAAGCTCTTCCCAGGTAAGGAAGCTTACAGTTAGCATCCTTATTGTTAGTTTTTCAGCTTTTGGACTGAAATAAATTCAGTTATCAAGGTCAATGATTCACTTGTGTCTTTGTCCATTCACAGACTTGCAGTGAAAAATGCCACCCTGCTTCTGTCCGTGCTGAAGATACCAGACCGCAGTCATGCACAGAAACTACAGCTGAAGGCTCTGGACACAGTGCTTTTTGGACCTCCAAGTGAGTAGCATATATTTGTGGTTATGTATTAAACAGTATACTGTGTATAATGATGAGGTAATACTGATTCATTTGAAAATGTCCATTTGAATGAATAAATTCTGATTCACTGGCAAGAGTTGGTCATTTTGATTCATTTATGTGAATCAGTTCAAACTGTCCATTTCTGTCAGGACCACTATCGTCAAAGATGATTGACAATTAGCATACAGTTTGGATTGGAATTAATCAATTCTGATTTATTGGCAGTAGTGGTATCAGGGTATTTCACTTTTTAATTTAATATTGAAATCTGAAAAATGAAAAAACTGCACATTTTTCGTTTTTCATTTGTTCAGTTTTTTTTGTTTTTTAGGACTATTATTATGCTGTAATGTTTGGTTGACCAATCAGCAGAGAGGGGCGTTTCATTCCCGCCCACATGTAGAGATCAAATATTCAAGTTGCTTATTCGTTTTCTATCCCTGAACGTAAAAACGAAAAATGAAGCCGGATTCTTGATTTTTCGTTTTGTTTGAACAATTGAAAAACGAAATATGTGCCGTTTTTCATTTTTCAGATTTCAATATTAAATTAAAAAACGAATGATCGGAAGATACCCTGATTTAGTGGGTAAGTTTGATTAATTTCTGTGAATCCTTTTGAAACTGTCCATTTGAATCAAACAATTCTGATTCAGGTGGCGAGATTTTGTAAGATTGATTCATTTCTGTGAATCAATTTAAACTGTCCATCTTAATTAATTACTTAATTTTGATTCATCTGCAAGATTTGGAAAGATCACTTCATTTCTTTGAATGAATTAATTCTTATTCATTGGCAAGAATTGGTATTTAATTCATTTCTGTGAATTACTTTAAACCATTTGAATTAATACTGATTCATTTGCAAGAATTGGTATGATCGATTCATTACTGTGAATCAGTTCAAACTGTCCATTTGAATTAATCAGTTCTGATTCATTGGCAAGAGTTGGTAATTTTGATTCATTTGAACTGTCCATTAATCATGCTAGAGTTGCATCATCACTTAAATAATAATAGAAGAATCACAGTTTTTGTTCATTTTGTTCATAACTGTTATTATATTTTGTATTTTAGTGTGACTGAAATGCTGTATAGACGATTGGCTTCCAGAAGTAGAATTATCCATTTAATAATACCCAGTTATCTGCTTTATCTTTCTGCTGAATTGTTGGAACCATTTTCTTAATTCTCCTTCCTGTTTTAGAAAAACACTAGCTTGGAAATGTTCTGTGAGGCATAAGTTTTTCTGGATTGATGTTTGCAGAGGGTTCTCTGGATGAAGTCCAGACTGCTGTATCCATTGCGCGTTACGTTGTAGCGTCTGGACCAATCAGACACACCATTTTTCATTTGATTTAACAAATCAATTATTCATTAGATTAACAAACATTCACAGACCCCTCACCCAATAAACATACTGGGTGTCAAGTTGTCTGTGAACGAGGCCCAGGACCATGGTTACCATGGCAACCCTGACACCAGATAGATTTTACGACCTAATGGCATGTTGAGAGTCCTCCCCCTCTCACTGCATGTTCCATAGGAAGAGGCACAATGCACAGTAGAAATGGACTTTTCTACTAATTAATTCATAGGAAAACCTTTCTTTGAATGAACACACATATCCTTCAGGTCATTGTGTATGTTGTCTTTGAGATTTTATACTGTTTTATGCAGGCTTATGATGGAAACACTCATTCCTGTCATCTTACATATATGTAACCCTACCATGTTTAGTATATATGAATTAGTCTTCTGATGATCTAAACGAGAGTGTATATTATATGTTGGTACATAGGCAATATATTAGTGTAAGAAAGTAATTTCCCTTAACCAGGAAATTAACGTTCTTAGAATTGACAGACAGTTGACCTGAGAGGTCAAGTAAATATCTACAGCGGATCTAAATATTTATAATTAATTATAACTAGTTATGATTAATTATTCATATTTCCCCATGAGCTGATTCGCTACAACGTGCTAAAATCAAGGGAAGGTTTAGTCTGTTTTCTTTTCTCGTGAGCAAATATCTTCTGCTTCTGAAAATAGTCAGGCTTATTGGAGTACAAGAGCCAGACAGAAGAGGTATGTCCCATTCATGTCAACTGTTACAGCGTGATACTCAAGTACAGCTGGTGAAACAGAAAAGCGAGGGATGATGGGACAGATGTTATCAATAAATAGGTGAGAGAGAGAGATAGATAGAAAAGGTCGAGGGCATTCATATGATTGCTAGTTCATGTGAATGTCTCTACCTAGAACATCAGCCAAAGTCAAACCTGTCAAAGATGCTGGTGGTAAGAAAAGTGCTATTGTAACGGTATTAGACACAACACCATCTTAATCCCAAAGGCTGCCAAGGACTGCATGATATTTGTTGCAAGAATTTTAGATGATGCACTGTTAGTATATGAAACAGGATAAAGCACAAGGCTGCTAGAGCCATATTCCTTCTGTGCTTTAGCAAAAGAAGGACATCATTGATTTATTTTATGTGTCCTGCACTTGCCTGTGCTTTATTACATAAGTAGGCATACATGTAAAACTATGAAAAATTATGTTTTTAGGTTAATGCTTACTGATTAAACAATATTTTGGTGGTGCTTTCATGCTAGGGTGTTGTGAGTGGTTACCAATGCATTTCTATGCAGTTGAGTAGTTGCTATGCGGTTGCTAGGGTACTCAGAACCAGGGGTTTACAAACAGGGTCCCTGGGGACTACAAGGAAGTGATATAGGGTCTATGGAAAAATGTAAAGAAAAAGTGTACAAAAATAAATAAAAATTATAAATAAGTAAATAAAATAAAATAAAAAGTAGATTAAGTAAATAAATAAATAGACTGCTATAAAAGAACAGTATTTTTATAGTACGAGAAGGAAAAATGCATAATATTGAAATAGAATGGAAGCAAAATATTTTCCAAATAATATTTTAGAAATATTTATGTTAGTGATTTTTCACATTTTAAATTGGGTCTTTAGGCAAGAAACTATATAGATGCCTTTAAAATTTTTGAATGCTCCCAAGCATGAGTATGATTGTATTTGGTGCGCTATGACATCTAAACGAGTAAACACTCTTACTCTGAGCGATTGCTAGGTGGTAGTTTACTGGCCCAAGTCAAGCACTCTGTTTGAAATCAAATTTGTTGAAATTTTATGAACTTTTGTGATTGGTTAAAAATATTTTTACATTTTTGGAGCCTTATGTTATTGTAAAGTCATACTAATTGAAGGAATTTGATGTAATCACTTTATAAACTGTCTAAATATACCAGTGTGTCTGTGAATTGTCTGGTCTGTTGTCTGAGTGGTTGATCCCTCCCGGTTCCAGATTCTGTCCGGAGCCTCTTAGTAATCTCAGCTATGGCAGTTATTCACCTCTGATGATGTCACTGTTTCTGCTGTCCGCAGTAGAAGGTTCCTCACTGTTCCAGATGATCTTACTATAGAGTCTCATGGTGTTTCCAACACTAATGGAAAATCGGCCTAGTGTCTGTTTACAAATTTCAGCTTCAGCACATACACATGAAGAAATGAGGACTCTCTGCCATCCAAAATCCCTAGACCTGGTCAAAGATTATGTGTGCAAACAAAACACTCCTTTATATACATTCAAAGAGTTCTTTTATCAAACACTAGTGCCATAATTGAAAAGGAAATCCAAGACGGAAGTTTATCATGTGCCGGCCTCAGTAAACCCACCAGAGATTTAACCTGACCCCAAATCAAGCCGGTTAAGATGGGTGAGCGTCGAGGTTGAAGGATTCACAAATACTTTTGGCACTGCTACATGTGCCATCACCTGCCATTTTCCTGGGCAGGATGTGAGCAGCAAAATCGCAGATGGAAATAGCACTCGCTAATCCAGTCATCCAAAATCTCCTATTACGCAGCTGATGCCACCACCTTTGTGGGGAACACCTCTCTGGATCCCCATACTGTTGTCATTTCAGCATGCAAAATAGATTAAGACAGATTTGATAGAGAACTACTGATGTGTATTCATACGTCCTGCATGGTTAGATCCAAACTGGGAGCTTTTCATCACTTCTGGGACTTTTTCTAAGTAGATTACTATTTGTTTGTATTACTGTTATTCTTGCTAAAAGCGGTCTGTGCATGTGCTTTATATCACAAGTTTGTACAACAGCCACATATGTTAGGCTGGAGTTGTAGAGACAGGAAGACAATCAGCCCTGATTTGATGTATTACTCCTGCCAAAAAATCCTGGTGCTTTTCCATATGCCTTCTTCACACTCTTGGGCTTGTGATTTTGTTCATAGAAAGTCGAGTCTGTCCACACTGCACATCCTGGTAAAAAAGTCTGTTTTAAAAAGAATATTCTGGTTTTATTTGTTGTGTTTAACCGAAATATATGTTCAGATTTTTGATCGACATGATGAAAGCATCAGTCGGTATGGAAAAACAATATTGGAAATGCATGTTAACAGAAGATCGCAGACAAAAGCATTGGAAAGAAAACACTAATTTGCTTCGGCCATGTTGGAGTCAGCTGGGGTGACCAGTGGAATGTATTTTGAAAAAGAGTCATAATTCCCACGTCATCACTGTATTTAGAGTATGTGATACTCTAGTCTAATGGATATGACAGCACTTTGTACATTCATCCATACTCTACTGTCACTGTTTTTTAATTAATACCTAAATTCAGCTTTGCCATCAAAGCAATGAATTACATTTTAAAATATATTAAATAAGTAGGGCTGCACGATTATGACAAAAATCATAATTGTCGATTATTCCCTTGAAATTGTAATCGCGATTATTAATTACGATTATCACAATTTACATTGAATGATGTTTATACCATTGTTTAATGCAACCGCATGCCATATTTTTATATGAAAATAAACAAGCTGAAAACACTTAACTGAAAAACTTTTAGTGCTTTTCTATAGAAATTAAGCCTCAAATGTCAACTAAACATCGGATTGGTTTCTTCTTTAAATTATAAAAAAAGTAAAAATATAAATGGTATTATAGTGTTATACTAAAACTAAAATTAAAACAATGGAAAAACCCTTAAGATA